GGAAGTCCAATCGGGAAATCTGAGTGCAGTCCAAAATCCAAAGATCCATCCAAGACAAGACGAACAAGGTTAAAATCCGTAGCGGAATCCGGAATAGGACAGGAGGCTAAAACAGGCTGACAAGGCCATGCTCTCCAAGCCCCAGACTCAGCAGGTTGGGACGCAGATCGGATTCCTAAGCCCTCAAGCCGCAGACGTAGGGCAACTTGATGCTAGATGGGCCTCCAGACGTCTGTCTTCCAATGCAGGGCACCAGGGTTCCAGAGCACCGGGTTTAAAGAAAGAACAGAACAAGAGGGCAGGTGAATGTAATAATGAACTTAGCAATAAAGGGTCTGAGCACCCTCTAGAGGAGGGATGACGACTGTGACACCCTGTTGATCAACGCTGATGATGGCAAACGTTAATCAGCGTAATGCATTTAAGAATAGATGTCTTAAATGTATTTTTTTCCTGCTGCAGCCAGGGGCGGATTAACGAACAGGCTAGCATAGGCTGTAGCCTAGGGGCCACCAATTGGCCAGAGTATTTTTTAAAGGGACCTGTGGGCCCCCATTGGTCCATAAAAACGTTGAATAATTTGTGAACCAATGGTTGGTTAGATGCAATGGGTTCGCAATTCAAATTTAGCTTTGTCCAACGTATCAGCCAGTGCTACAACAACCACGGTTGAAAACTTATCTGCAGCTGGTTCTAGCCTGGGCACGGTCTACATCCATGCCAGTCATAAGGACAAGTCAGCTCCCGCAACGGAATCAAAGGGGAAATAGCCATCCGAAACGCCACCATCTCCACATGACCAACACGCCCGAGCCGCCGCCATTGCTGTTGCACCTGCTGCCGTGGAGCTATCAGATTCCGCGACAGCAGCTCCCGCTTCCTATAGCTCGGACCCAGCATGCTGGGGGTAAAATTGATTAACAGATGCGGCCATACTGGACTAAATTTTGTCCGAAATCGTGTCAAAACCAAGACGCGGATGTTGCAGCATCACAAAGACAAGATACTGTAAACACCGAAAGGGTTATTTCCCTAAAACCCTCAACAAAAGAAAACTCGGAAACGGCGAGTGTGTGTCAAGAGAATGGCTGCTGTTTTCCCCTTTGAAAGGTAGTGTTTTGTTTCGCATGTAATTTTGGGGACAGCGATGATCAGTCCGGACTGAACGTAGGCTGTAGTGACTGGAAAAATGCCGCCGCACGCTTGGCTGAACACGAATTGTCGGAGAGCCGTAGAAAGGCTATGGTTGCATACGTTATGTGCTGTGCTGATAATAGTCTGATAGATTACGAACTAAAAAAAAAGTTTGACCATGAATATGGGTATTGGACTAACGTCTTGAAAAGGGTGGTTGCAGTGTTGAAGTTTTTAGCAGAGCGAGGGCGGCCTTTAAAGGGACGCGGCGAAATGTTCGGGCGCCCGACAACGGGAACTTCATGGGTGTCCTCGAAGTTTGCGAGCTTGATCCCTTCTTGAAAGCCCATATAGAAAAATATTCCATCGTCGATGCAGTGTATTGACTGATTTGAGTCTGTTGACTACAATGGACTTGCACGAATTGGGAGTGTCCTGCTGTTCTTGAAATAATGCGCTCAAACAGGGTGGTCATTGGTTTCTGCTGTGCTGTTCTTGTGTTTCGTCGGTTTTAAAGTAAGCGTGCGCATGATTTCTGTTGTCAGCTCGCAGGTTGGCTGTGAATCTATTTATATTGGTTGTATTGCTGTACTTGCATTACAGGCTATTGTAGTGTGTGTGTATTTGGGCTGACTGTGTATGTGTGTGTGTTCCCTGCGTTCCCTGCATTCCGTTTGAATCGGCGTTAGCAGGCTCATACTCCGAACGCGTCACTGAATTATTACAGTATTTTCTCTCGCTTTTTTCTGGTAATGGGATGGGGGAACTACACAACGTGTAGCCATGGGGCCTCTGATCACCTTAACCCGCCACTGGCTGCAGCCACTGTCCTGTGGGTGACTGCTGCAGCTGGGTAATCTGTGTAGAACAGACATTTAACTTTCTTGAGGAGTAGTTTAAACCAGGGGGTACAGTATGTACTCCTGCACTGTGGCTAATTCTTTTATATAGACGTGGAGAGTGTTCGTGCCTGGACTGAAGCTCTGTCTTACTCCTCTCTTCTGGGTGAAGAAATCATTGTGCATTGATTTTATTTATACTGCATTTATTTGCAATGTCTATTGACTTTATAATGTCATAGACTTTCCCTCTACTCCACATTAGAGGAGATTTTATTAAAGCCCCCCTTGAAATTGAATCAGAAGCATTTTTCAAGTCAATAACGCATGGAAATATTTTGCCTTTGTTTCCTTGGTACACATGCATTTTTGTGTGAGGGTGTGCAGGGTGTAAATATGGTCAAAGGTGCATTGATTTGGTAGGAAATGAATCAATGTAACATTTCACTCAAGACACTGTATGAAAGTCAGTATCGAGGCATTTTGAAAACGTAAGACCATATTCTCCAGATTACTTCTCACGCAAATGACTCTGTAGTTAATGGGATCAAATGTGGCACCGCTTTGTACACTAAAGTTATAATTATAGTTGCATTTTCAGAGTGTTTTTTTGTCCAAAGAGATGCCATAGTTCTTTACATATACTGTAGGAGGGGACACGCTTCATACCTGGGTGATTGACAGCAGCCAGTTCACTAGAGACAACATCCAAGAATGTTGAATGTGAATGTGAATGTTTGAAACACTTGGTGAGAAAAGGCTCAACCGGCTTAAGCCGCTTGTTAATGGGTAGCCTCCTGCCCACAGCATGAGGAGGCTCGAACCCATTCAGTAATGAACCAAGAGGTAGCTGCGTGGTGGAGATGGAGTGGAGGAGGGATGCTTGAGACAAATGTGAAGGGAGGTGCTTGTCTTTCATATGTAGCTAATTTTATGTTGATGGTGATGAGATACAGTGATGTGAGTGTGACTTGTAGTTGTTATTCCTCCTGAACTTCAGGATGATGTAATGTCCCTTATATACCAGCAGCCCTACACAGAGCACATCAGGTAGAAAGATAAGAAACCTCTTCATCGATTGAATTAAAGGAGAACTTTAGGTACGCTGGATTGTGTAACCCCACAGTGGACTAAACGGGACACCAGGACTAAACATTGTCTCAGAATCTTTAATGACCAAGCAATGCATTCAGGTTAGTGTTATGGTTAAGTCTAAACCACTTATCAGATACGTCTGTGATACTTATCAGAAAGCAGCATGTATTCATGTAAAAATAATAAACGGTTTACTGTCAACACAATTTTCAAAAGTGACAAAGACACGGATTGGGTGGTAAAGCAAATTCCTAGAATTTATTTTGAGATTCTAATTGAGTAATTTTGGAAGAGCTTGTATAAGCGTATTCGTTATCAACTCGTTGAATAAGAAATCAATTGGGTAAATATTATTGAATTCCATAATGAGGCTTAGAAATACATTTCCGAGATAATTCATATCTTACCTCCTTTTAGCGCGGACTTTTAGCAAGGACAATTCAAGACGAAAAAAAGCTTGGGACTAAAATGTATTATTACAAACTATCACCACAAGAGGGTGCGGATCTCACGGTGGAAGAAATGCGGCTTGCATGAACTAAGTTCTCTGGAAAATAAAATACACACCTAAAAATCACTCGCTTGTATTATCAGTGTTGTTGATGTACATGTTTTAATTAAAACTCAATGAACACGTCTTCTCTGGCTTACTCCATTAACCACCTCCTATCCTGTCCGCTTTGTGGCCTACTGTCAGGTGATAATCGTTTCAGTGATGAAAGCTGTTTCGACATACCATGCTCTGGACTTCGAGTTAACCGGTGTTAATGTAACATGTATTTTATGTCTGTCGAACACTGTCAATTTGAAAGCTTGGGCCGCAAATGAATTAAAAAAAAAAACAAATTACTACATACAATCGCTTTATATGTTGAGCGATGTTTGTTTAATACATTTCTCTATTTTCCCCTGGCTGACTGCAGCCCCAAAACAAGTATGAAAATAAAGCCAGTCGTGCCTGTGTCCTTAAGGGAACCGAGGAAAATTGCCATCCTGGAACCATTTATCTAAATTCATATTACGCTGCTGCTATTTTAAATAAGCTGCCGAGGGACCTAATTACTCAGCAGTTGTGCGGATCTGTGCGGCTGAAGGGCAAAAGTCCTCTTGCTGGGGGACATGACACAGCGACTTAGCTGGATCCTTGCAGTGGCTCCTCTCCTCCCGCACGCGCGCGCTTTAGTATTCTACGAGCAGGTTCGACACAGACGCTCTGCGGCTTCTCTCCGAGTCCGGCTGACTGACGTCAACGCGGGGGAGAAAGATTTCCTTGATCAAATACTGAAGTACAGCGTCATTCGACTCTGTGTTTTTTTTTTTGGGTGGTGGTGGTGGTTGCCGCCGGGGGGGTTACTCCATGGAGACCCCCTTTGTTTTAAGACGGGAATGAAATTTCTGTTTTAGGCTTCCAATTACACCACCATTCGACATTGGGCTCGGTCATCATACAGTAATCGGAGAAAAGTCATACACCTCTTTTGGAAATCCCCACACAGTTCCCGATTGTCGACCTGTCCGGTCCACACCAATTCAGCTGCCCCTGCCCATCCGTTTCGCTGCTAAGCCATCAATTTGATGCATAATTTGTGTACATAGACCGTCCCGTTTCACATGCATCTCTGTGTATGGACCTCTCATGATTCATTAGTATGGTTTATCCAGATCTCGATGAAATGATCTTGTTTTCAAAGTGTATAAACTTGCATCTTTCTAAGCTTTATATAATGCATTTGCGTCGTCAAATAAAGAAACTGCATTGTGCTTATCCTTTGATAATGTGACCTTGGGAAGCCAGACACCAAATTGTTTAAGTGACTTAACACCTCGCTCAGCGGTCGCTACTTAAAGGGGTCGATGTTCTGGAGCACTGGGGTCCAGTGCGTTTCAAAGCGGGCGGGATCTCTGCAGCCACATTAACGGTCGAGATTTTGATAGCCGTGGCTCTTGATGAATGTAGAAGAAGACTCTTCTAATCTGGCGAGTACAGAACTGAAGGAAAGGGTTTGTCAGTGTCATTTCTACGTCACTGAAGCGATGTGGGCGTGAGGAAGAGCATTACCGCCCTCACCAAATGGTGTGCACCATTTTACTCCACTTCGCCTGTCTGTGCAAAAATTCTACCGCTGGAAGTTGATGGCAATGCCTGGCGTGAAGAATTGTCTCAAGTTTTTCTTTCAAACTATTTAAGATCTGCAAACTCCAATGGTTTTACTAAATATAGGATGGGATTTACTTTGAACGGCAGATATATTGCACTTATTCTGGCTGTACAGTTAGGTGAGTGTGCATGATTAAACGTTACCAGTAAAAGGAATGCCTGCTGCTTTTTTTTTCTTTCAGATTTTCCTTATTTTAATTTAAATAAACGAATCTGTAAATCACAGTTGGAGACTGTGAAAAAAGTAAAGTGCTTGGTTTAAAATGCACGTATGTATGTCTATCAAATATGCGAGACGCGGATGACATTCGAATAAATAGCAATGTAACCATTTCTTTCTTTCTCGAGCATTATTTTCTAACGTTTTGCTCAGGAAGACCTTGGAGATCTTCCTTGCGTTTCGTTAGGATTTTAATTTGACGAGCTCCAACGGAGAAGAAGGTATTTTATTTGTCAATTGTATGTGTTTTATTCGTTATGGCAACACTTTCCAAAGTATTCCAATGTATGTGCGACACATTTGTTTACAAAAGCTGCCGGAAATCTGTGTTATGACACGACAATCTATACCTAACCTAAAATTAAAAGATCGGTTGTGCATTGAGACCCCAGCTCCAAAATGCAACCAATTCTTCTCAGTTGTTACATAATGTTACAGCTGGAAATAAATCAGCTGCATTCGTGTCTTTACGAGCAGGCAGCAGAAGGCGAAGCAAATATAAATAATTCAAGGGAGACCAGCACAGTAATGATGAAGAATCCTTTTGCAGTAAATGTGTTTTGCATAGATTCGTATAGTAGGCTATGAGGCAGTAAATAGGACCAGTTGTTAGTATTTTCTTCACCGTTTAAATGCTCTGGGAACTGCGCGCAAATTGGTTTAGCTAAGTAATTATTTTAAGGAATTTTAAGGCATTCGAAATCAAGGTGGCCATCACTCTGAGTGTTTATAAAGTTAACTGCTTCAGTTTGATAGTCATACCGTTTACCTACTACTGCGTCTACTGCTAATTTGTCGTCTTCTTTTTATTATTATCTTAGCTACAGAAGTTAATATGGATGACCAATGTAGAAACTACTGGGATAACGAATACGGTGCCAATGCGGGCTAGAACATTTATATCCAATACGCTGTTATTAGTGTTTTGATACTGTACCTCCTTTCAATATTTATGCCTTCGATAAAATGAAACGACAGACCAATGTTTTAAGAAATCGTTTCCAAATTAACTTTTAATTAAGTGGCTGTACCATACCATGATGGGACATAAAAATAATGCAATACTACATTTAATAAATAACATTTTTTTCTCAAAACAGTGTATAAAGCATATATTTGATAATTGGTCATTTGGTAAACTCCAAAATTACAATGCTCTTGTGAACTTGTATTTCCGCTATTTTAAAGTAATGGTTCCCTTTTTTTAAAAAAAAAATCTTATTTAATAATACAGTGATGTATTATTTATAATGGCGATAACTTACTACATCAACTAATATTTTCTTATCAAGATGGGCAACCATATTATGTATTTTTAGGAAAACGTGTGTTTATGTGTGAACTTTATGTTCAGGCGATTATTTTAAATATTCAGATGCTAACCGACTTGGGTAAAATGGAGATATATGAAATAATAATGAAAATGAATGAAGGGTAACGTTTCGTTTTCTCTTTATTACGTGCGTTACTGTTGCGGCGACTTTCAGTGCACATCATTCATTTTACCCTATGTGTTTGTACACATTTCGCAATTTTTTTTAATAAGCTTCTAATCTGCGACCCTGGTATACTGTATTTGGAATGTAGACTGCACTCTAAGCGCTTAAAAGAAAAGACTGCATTTATCAGATAATATAACCTTATTTTGTTATAACGCCTCCCACTGATCCTGTCGTGTAAGAGCAAATGAGCGGTTATGATCTAGAGATCTCCAAATTTTCTTTTGGGATACATTCAGCCTCGACTTTTGAAATATATTTTCTGTGTCTTGAAAATGTGGGTTTCATCTGTGGAATACTGTATATGTCTATATATAACCTCGAAGCTTCTTTCCAGAGTAATTTACTGCTTTAAATTGCGTTAGCACCTAAAGTCGCGTATATATTGTAATAACTTTTTCATGTATAAACTATATTTTCACTATACGCTTCAGTAGATCGTTGGAATTTGTTCACCTTGATTATTCACTCTATTTTATGATTTTTTTTTTAGATTTCGAAATTTCAGTTTTCGTGTCTGCATTAATGTTTCTCCACTTCTCCTGAGAATCTGTAACCTACATATGTTACACGTACGCTAGACGCGTCTAAATTTCCTAACCACCACTGAATATACTGTAAAAGGCAACAAGAAGATTCCTGCTGTACTGTAGCTCAAAACTTGTGCCTTCATGATTGACATTACAATGGAGAAGTATGGTTAAAACTTCCTGGTATAAAATATCAAATAACGGAGACCATTAGTAGTAGTATTTACAAAAACCGCATTCCTAAAATTATTTTTCTTCTGCAGTACCGCGCCAAATTCTGAATTGAAGTGACAATCACCCTGGTGTAAAAATGTAGAATTCCCTGCATTACTACATCACCAACAAATGTTAATAGAAGAATACGAATGCAAAGATTAGTATATATAAAATAGGGTAGTTGTGGAAGATAAGAACGAAAACGCAGAGGTGTTTATAATACCTCGTAGGTTTTTTTGGGGAAACTGGATCTTTTGCCCAGTCTGTGAATAAAACATCTGAGGATTTCGGGCGCTTTTCTTTTCCCTCTTGAACTCCGCAAATTGCATTGATTTGTCATTCCGGACAGGAGTTCCTAACTCGCGTCCGCTCACATCCGGATTGATGAGGATAGATAACATGTACACGGTTCCGCTGGCGAACTTCAGCCACTCACCCAGAATGCTCATCGAATTGTTGCAATCGGATCAATTGACTGAATCCCTGCTCAACGAACCGCGAAGGAAAGGAAGGAAAACACATGCTGCTGATCAGCGTCAAGACATGAAAAATTAGTTCGAGTAGGTTTAAAGAGACAAGTCAGTAATTATTTTTGAAACCCCTGTTATTTATCACGATCCGGTTGGCATTTTCCAACGCCCTGTTTGGTGTACGGGAAGGAGACTCCTTCAAATCAGTGAAACCCCTTCCACCCCACTTGACGCATACATGAGTGTAATGTTATAATCTCAGAAAATGTTTCAGGTGTCCCTACAATCCTAAAACAATTACGTAGCTCAGCTATCACCCGCCTGCCCACCCCTCACACCAGTCACTGTATGTGCTCAGCTATGTACTCGCGAATAGTATGTAACCATACTCTACGTTTAACAATGGTAAATAGACAAAGGTTTATTTGTATGGTATGTATTTTTTCTTTCAAGACCAAAAATAGAAGAAAGCCGTCAAGGAACTAGTATTTACAATATTTCCAAAGGATGGTAGGCTTGATCGCGACTCGCAACTGACAATAATATGAAAGAAAATACAAACACAAAAACAAAGAAAATACGAATGTTTACTTCATGACAATATTCATGACTATGTTGCCCGTAATAATTAGCACTTAATTTCCATTATTAATTTGTAATTTTAGCATTTTTATTTATGCTTGATATAAGATGAAGATTTATTGGAATGCCAGGAGGAAATGTGCTAATGCCCCCATCAACGCATTTATCAATGTTTTTGAATATTTCCGTCCAGTTTATACCTTTTGTTTCAGCTTTTCATAAAATATAAATATAATAAACCTTAAAATGAACGTTATTATTATTAAAATGAATTATGATGATGATGATGTTGATAATGCAAAGTACTTAATAATGACAGAGTTTTAAAATATTTACAAGTAAAACACACAAAAATAAAATTGTAAACCGTTTCTTTTATAAACTAAATGTCTTCCCGGTTCTTGTGTGAAACTGCTTACAGTATGTTGTTTTATGTTGCTGTTCTGCAGTAGACAACAAAATTAGCAATAAGAATAATAGGAGGAGGAGGAGGAGTAAAGAGTCTGGTACTAGTAGTAATGTTATTGATGATAATTGTTACAATTTGTCTGCACAAAATTATAGTTTTGTTTTCCACTATTTCCAGTGTATCTCCTACAAGCAGTGAAAGCGGCTGGGAAATGTGATACAGTATTTAAAGGCTTCTCAGACTGCTTGCTCAGACTGGGTGAAAGCATGGTGCACTACCCACAGGACCTGGACGAGAAAGAAAATCTTAAGACCATCTGCTCGTAAGTTGAGATTTTACCAAAACCCTGCAAAGCTCGCGCGATGTGTAGTCGACGAAAATAAAGCGTGCGGGCGCAGCACGAGCCACTTTGTGTGCGAAGAGACAGATGGTGGGAGACCTCCACGTCACTTTGAAGGATCTAGCAGTGTGTTAATACGCCATTCTAGAATTCACGTTTCATCCATTAATTGTCATAAAATAGACCATTATACGTCCAGGGGTTGAAGGGTCGACATCAATAAAGTCGATTGTTTCATGGCGAGTTTCCGAACGCAGTGCCTACATGTGTCACACATAGAAGCAGCTGCAGCTTGCGCCAGAGTCGCTTATAATTTTCCTTCCCTGTGGATCGAGCAGTGCACCATTAAACACCCATCATATTTAAGGGATACGTGTTGTTATTTCTATTTGTTGTTATGAATATTTGAACAAGCAGTTTGTAAATGTATTATATAGAAAATGTACAGTATATGGACTGCAAAAATAGAAGCTTATGGACATTAATAGACAATGGTAATAGCAAGTTTAACATTGGTATTACTTTTACAGTAGTAGGACCGACATCATATTTCTTCAGATAAATAATCGTTTTCAAAATGTAAAGCTCAATTATTTATGTGCAAGTGTATTGTATATGAAGTCACATTTTACCCATTTTATATATTTATCGGAGAATGGCGAAAAAATATATATATTCCTTGTGTTCTCCTTACTTTTTGATGTAGCCTTACTTGAATCTGTTCGATTCCTGCAATAGTCTTGAATCCACATTTCTTGAAACCAAATTCCTTGCTTTGTAGACATTTCGAATAGAAATCTTTATACTCTCCTTAAGCGTTAATTAATTAATAAGTCATTTTTACTAAGACTCAAAACTCCTCTCCACCAGTTCATCGAGTACAACTGTGGACTGTAGATTACATGTTGGTTGTGTTTGATTTTCGTAGCAAAGGGTTAAAATGCGCGTCAGGTGCAGGCGTCTCCCCTCCGCAGTCTTGAGTTTGCTCTGCCGACGTGTAGAGGATAAGAGATGGAGGACGTTTTAATTTCCCGTGGGGAGCTGCAATTACACCAGAAATATTGCAATAAAGGCACATTCGGCCGACCTGGCATCTCGCTATCTCATTACTTATTACAGCTGTATCAAACAGTGGAGGCTGCAGCTACTTAAAAGTGCCCGTAAATTTCAACTTGACAACAGTAAGGCTCCTCCGTGGATCGACTCGAGAATCAGGATGCAAATATACGCCACGGCCAAAATTAACGCAAATAAAAAATAAATGAAACTCACAGGATTAACTCGAGAACGAGTGTTATGCAAGACACGGTAATCTTAATTACACAGAAAGACAGGCTATTTATAATGATGATAACGTAGAAAGTGGCTAAACACGTGTCAGGTAACTCATATTTGGTGCGACTTCCCCTGCTGCTATTCCTGGCGCTATTCTTAAGAGTATATTTATAGAACCAGGTAGCTGACACACAAATACTTAGTTTAATTCTTCATAGAACTACATTCCAGCATGATTTCGTCATTTGCACGTGAAATCCATGTTTCTTATATGAGGTAATCACCGTGTCTAGGACAAAAGTAACATATGGAAAGATTAGATTAATTAAAGGAAACGTACGATTATTACGATTTCAGTTCGTTTGACTGTAATGTTACATCTGTTATTAAGTACATGAAACATTTTAATGAAGTGTCTAGGCTGTCATTTTATTCACGTTGTTGTATTTTTTATTGCAGACCTTTTAAAAAAATAAAATGCTTTCATACAAACCACAGAAGTGACGAAAGTGCACAAGAAGCGCTGAATTCGATTTTAATAGAAGAATACATTATTAATAAGTCTGTTTGATTACGTTATGCAGCATGAATGCAGTGCAATAGAAGTGGGGTTTGATGAATTATTAACGCCTTGAAGACAATGCGGGTGAGGGTGACTACCCTTAGCTTACAGACCTTTTTTGAAATATTTTTATTCGGTTTGCAGGTACTGGGATGACTTTCATTCGTGCGCTACCACAGCGCTCGCAGATTGCCAAGAAGGAGCGACGGATCTCTGGGAAAAACTCAAAAAGCAGTCTAAAAACCTGGAGTTCAGAGGCAGCTTGTTTGAACTGTGTGGTGGAAGCAATGGAGCACCGACATCCACTATTCATTTTGGCTTCACTGTTTTTCTTATATCACTCTCCGCTTTAGTGACATGGTTTGCTTTTTAGAAGAAACGATACAACAATAGAAGAAAAACACAAAACCACTGCAAAAATAACGACAGCAAATATAGTGACCGAATTCTACACAGCATTGGATTTATATGAAGAAGAAAACAAAATACAACAAAAGACGTGTTTTTCTTGTGACGCAAAAACCTGCAGTCTTTTGGGCTTGCTGGAAATGTCAACCACCTCTTCGTGATTTCCCCCATTTTTATTTGCCAAATTTGTTACAGAGTCGAGTGCAAGCCAGGCGGGAGACCTCACTTTTATTCTCGCTTCACTTCAAAGCTCAACAGACTCAGCCACCTTCAGAGAAAAAAAAAAACTCAGGAACGGCGTTAGCCATTTAATTAAAGGTGGGTCTGAAAGCAGGTTAATAAGGTGCTCGAGGGGAAACAGGAATCCGGATGAAGAAAAAAATGAAGATAGGCCGTGACTTCATTATAGTACATTAATAAATGAAAATGAACTAGCTGCCAATCAGACTCACTGTGTGTTTCAGTCATTAAAATAGAATGTTTTTACATACAACAAAGTATTGTAACACGAGATCCCGTTGGACGCGAAATAAATCAGTTGGATAAAGTTAATATGTTAGCTTTATTTGATGTTGCCAAGGCATAGACCACGTTTCACTGCCTTTTAAACGACATGTATGGTTTGTTTGTTCGTTTGTTTTTGGATATGTTGCATATAATATAAAAATTCAAAAGTATAGAATATACAAAGGACTATGTATATGAAAACCATTTTGAGAAAAGGGGATGACTAAAATAAAATATATAACAAAACATAACATTATATAAGGCCTACTAAAGCTACAAAAAGCTACAAAGTATAAAGATATATATTAAATAAACCAGTTATTGTTTGAAAAGAAGGTGTGTGGTGTTCTTTTGGCTATTCATTTCAATGAGAGTACTTTAATTCACATTCAATTGTAAAATAAACCTGCAAAACGTAATGCTTAATGTTTATACTAAAGTTTTAAATGAGGTAGCCTTGGATGTAATGAATGTGGATTACCTTTGCGTGGGTACTGTATATGTTTAAATGTTCAATTATTATTATTCGTTAAACAATTATTATTATTAGTCTGTGATGCACCTTCAATATGAAGATCCTAAGGTTTACATAGTCCTTAAATGATTAAAGCTGACAGACAAGATCTTCGTCACAAGCCTGTAAATATAACGAAAAATGTGTCTATGCTGGAATCAGACAAATAGTTCCATAATTAATAAGACATATCTGCGAATATGGCACTGTGTCGCTTCCTACTGATTTGGCAGGGGAAACTGTAACAGTCATCTATTTTTAGCTCGCTGGTGTGTTTGTTAGAAACGGGGATGAAAAGAAAGCAGGCACCTAGGTTTGGATTCAAAGGATAGGTATAAGGGAGCAGGGGAAAGAAAAGGATGCGTTTTTTTCATGACCAAGCAACTCCATAAATTAAACAAACCATAAGAATTGTTTCAAGGGGACCAGCGCAAACCTGGCCTGTTTTAGATGCAACGTGAGCTCTGGATGTTTTTTTTTTTGCTTTTCATTAATCAAACGCAGCGTGTTACCTCTTAATATGCATGCATGTCCCCGAAGTACAGCCTCCCTGAAAAAAAAGCGTTAGTTGCCTATCCAGAACACTAATGATAACCTTGAAGAAACGCGTTTCGGATTGACCTAATATGGAAATTACCAAGTATCCCTTTTCCTTGCTGTATATGTGTTATGAAGGTTACATTGTAGCTGATTTTAGGGGAAACCAAACGGGAAGATGTGATGAAGCACCGCTGCATTTACAGTTAGACAGAAAGTCTTAGCGTTCATAAAAAATACACTTCTCTTATTTCTAAACTACCAAAGGTGAACCCAGACGCGAGAGGGGGCGTGAATTCGTTTTCCAGATCTGCCTCAAGATGTGAAACCTTCTTTATGCTTTTAAGATTATTATTTTTAAATCGTTCGACCATTTTATTGCTTCAGTAATTTCTCAGTCATATATGAGTGATATAAACCGTGTATTTAGGTATGTATTTTACAGTATATCACGAGTTAATTCCTGCAGCAGTGCCTTTTATCCGATTATTTACAGTACGAAATATATAAAGAAATGACTCGCAAAGGCTTGTTAAATTAATGGTTGTAGACTTAAAGTAAAAAAAAAAGATTATTTTCTCTATAGTTTTTCGCAACAATAGGTATACCACTCCATGCCATCGTTATTGTTAGTAGTAAAATTAACCAGCCAAAATAATGCACAAATACTAGTTTCCATTTAATTGATTTTGGTTGGTACATTTTCCCTTAAGACAAATGGTCTTAAACTATATGAATAAATATCTCTAGGATTTGCTTTTCCCAAACCCTTGCAATAATTCCAGAGGGACCACCACAAAGACGTGACTGACAGCTTTTACGTTAATATGGATGAACGCAAAACAACCATAGCTACCGTTCTATAAATAAATGTCCTTAATTTGCAGATTAAGTAGAGAATTAATTATAAATTGAAATGTTCCCGTCTAGAAAGCGCAAGAATTGCAAATGAAAAAACGTGCTTTAAGCAATTTACAGTCAAATATACGATATGAGCACAGGAGATTAAAAATTAATACAAATACATTTTAAACTCACATACTGTACTTTTCCCAACAATAAAGCCATTTTTGTATGTTCCCGTGTGTGCCACTGCTAATACTGTAAATGGTTAATGGAAGGTATTCGTGGAGAATGAAATGGTGTTCTCTCCTGGCTCGTTCCGTTGACTCGTGTCTATATTGTCTATGATGCAGCTACGCTTTTCTGAGAGTTTAAATTTTGCTTTGAACTCTCGTGAATTCGTTTAACCACGGTGATAGTTTGGTCATAATCTGAAGGATGAAAATGCTTTCCAGTCTATTTTCATATACATCACTATATACATTCACTATATTAACTTCTTCCATCTTAGTATTTTATCGCTCACGTTCTATATCGGAACATTTTAGCTTCTTGCTTTTTTGTTTATAAACATGCCTTTTAGTGTCCAGATTCTAATGTACGATTCCATCTGGTCATACTCAAGCATGGGGCACTTGAGTGTAGGCTATAGCAGAGATTTTTATGCTATTGGTTTGAAAAATATTTTTTCAGTCGTGTAACTACGTAGTAATGTTTCAAATATGAATATCGTAAGCAATCAAACACTTAACAAATCAATCAATCAAACAAAACAGCTGCTTTTACGGATTTAAAATCTGGCAAAAGGTCGGAAACTCAGGAACGGTGAGGTATACTTTTTGAGACTGCTGATTGATCCCCGAGTCCAGACAATACCAGAGAAGAATGAACATAAAATTGATGTAATATTTTATTTAGATTCAGACTTTTAATTAAGGCGTTCACAAAAATAAATATTATCGGAACTTAGTTTTGATTTATGGTATGCAATTTCAAGCCAATAGAAGTTATACAGTATATACAGTAGTTCGACGGAAAACCCAGTGGCTCTAGGGGAGGATACAGAAGCTGTTAGCTTTGCTCGAAAGAAAAACTCACAGCAAACACCTGCTGGCGATCACTAAAAGCCTATGAACGCCTTTCTCTCGTAACGTTTCGACAAGTAATAATAATGTTAAGCAGTGGAATAACAAATTATTGCTAAATTTCTGCAAAATTTAAATGCCATTTCTGTAAGCACTAACATGCAATCATGTTTAATTATTGTTATTATAATATGCATGAGGCATTTGCTTTTGTTGAAATATATCAAGAAAAAATCTTTATTGCGATAAAGACGATTTTTTTTTCTTTTCATGTGGAACTCAGTGCACCACTTAGCTTACCTTTTGCCGAGTTCAGTTTGATCCAATTGAATTTTGGGAGGTATGTGGCATTTTAAAGATGGCTGCAAGTTTGATTCCTTCTTGCACTTTAATAATTCTGTAACATTAGTTAAATATGTTTCATTTCGTTGGTTTTGTCTTTCTCTTACAACGTCAGCTCGGGTTAAACCTTTCTGTTTAACCTGAAACGATGTCAACATCGTATGTACAGTATAACTTCAAAGGAGTGGAAATGCATTGTGGAATAATAATTCTGAACACGGATGGGTGTACATTTTAATTTAGTAAGAAACGGTAGCAGGGCAGCAGTTACAGAAGTTGGTTTTGGTTTGTATATTTTCCCTTAAAAATGGTCTTATGAAAACATCTCTCGAGGATTTTTTTCCTAGAAATTCCTGAAATCATTTTCCTGAAGTCATTTTCGAAGTTAGGTATACTCGGTTTACGTAAAGGTACAGTATTTTGTAGCTGGATCTAGTTCTTATTTGCTCATTGTAACAAATGTACAGTATGTACCTACATTGGTATTTGTGCCAGTGCAGCAATGCCTAAGATATGAAACAATGCTTAAGATAAAAAAAACTTACCACGTTATATTTTTTTGTGCGATAAGGAATACGATAGAATAACGGTTTTATGCAAAATCTATTATGATTACTGCCATATGTATTATTATACATTATTGCCGTATTATCAGCTTAAATGTGTTTTAATGTTAAATATGTCCAGTTGTAGCCTTAAGTGTTGACCTCAAATCCGTTCAAACTAGAATGGCAGAGATAAATCGCTGACCCACTTTACATTACATTTGCAGGGTTACTTTATCTTAAACGACTGAAAAAGGCTACAATTTTAGTTACGTCCTATTTCCGCAGCTAACGTTCTGTTTTTGTCAGTCTTTGGTTTTGTTTTGTGCTTCGGTGATTCAGTGGTTAAGAATAATATTTTATAAAGCGTGTTTAAGAAACAATTGCGTATCGCGATTTTAAGTCTTTTCTTGTAAACAGGACGTAAAGACAGATGTATTTCTGATCTCACAAAGGAGATAATCTGTTTGATGCTTAACACCAGCACACATACAGTACAGTAGAAAAAAAACCCAACAGGTAACAAACACAAAAACGCTTCAATGCCGAAATCAAAATCACCCAATCTATTTTTCCAGTTTCTGTAGAGCAAATGAATTGTCCTTGTCATGGGAAGCCTGTCTGTGTGAGTGAGACCTATACAAATAAAGCTATAACCAAATAAGAGTGATACAGTTTGGTAACACAAGCAGGAACATTAAACATGGACCACACAGAAATTTCTCATCATGACTAACAGGGTGCAGTGCAAAACCATATTAGAGGATATGTGGACACACATGCACGGTATATACTGTATACAGTAGTCCATTCTGAAACTGTTAGATGGCCTAATATTTATTTTTCACACAATATAATAACAGACGGTGACAAATACTGAATCTGTTATGTCAAAGCCTGAGTTACCAGCATGATATAAAGTCTCATTGTCAAACTTTGTCTGCCCTAGATATTAGGGAGTCTGGCTTTTTTAAAATTAAAATAGGACTTTGCTTGGTTGCAGTGTTTTGCAGTGAACATAAGAAAATAAAAAAGGTTACAATTCAGATGATGCAATTTGGCCACCTCTCTTGTTTGGTTGCTTGTGGCTAATCGATCAAAGAATCTCAGCCACGTGCTTCTTGAAAGGCAGACAGAGTTAACTTGTTCCACTCCCACAATCACTATGGTAAAGATGAA